ACACACACACAGGATTCAGCTTTAATGACGGCACATTTTCTTATTGACGACTGCTCACTATCATCTGAGTTTAGATAAAAACTCAACCAGACATTATAATTGAAAAGTCAGCTCTTTAACTGTAAGTAACTCACTCTAGGTAAGTAATTTATCCGAGTAACTTCCATAAACTTCCTGTTGGGTCGACTTACATACCTGAATAGACTGTATAGACTATGGAAATGTAACAAAGCAGTTATTAAAAAAAACTGTGTAAAATGCATGCAGAATATTGCAGACTAGTGTATAACAGGCATAAAGCTGTATTTATGTCGGAGTGTGTGTGTGTGTGTTTGCTATCACCTGACTGGATGATGAGTTTAGCGCACTCGTTACAGGGGAACAGAGTGACGTAAATGGTGCATCCTTTCACATCCATGGAGGTTTTATTCATGATGGCGTTCAGCTCCGCGTGGCACACTGTTACCAATATTAATAATAATATATTTTAGATTATAGAAATAAATAAAGCAGCAATTTGTGAGGTCTGGGGATATCTGAGTCTTGTAGGAATCATGGTTTTTCTGATGATGTAAATATCTGCTGCTCTAATTGCATTATAGACATGTCAATAAATTATAGAGTTTTAGGGTTAAAACATTTAGCCTTATTTGTGTTAATTAGTTAGGGGAAGACCTTTACTGCAAGAAGCTATACAACACTAGTTAGCTAGTTATGTTTGCAAACAAAAATATTCTTATGGCTTCATCAAAACCCTGGCAAGTGACTTAACAAGCACTACAGAGGCACTAAAATGTCAGCCACAGAAACTTCACACTGGGTTACAGTTAAAAGAATAAAGTGAAACAGCATTTTAAAGCAGGCTGCAGTGGTTTAACTCACCGTACAGATATTTTTTGTCCAGTCTGTTTTCAGCTTCACGGTCCCAGGGGAACTCATCCTCACAGCCATTGGGCATTTTGTTATAGCCGATACCCACAATGTTCCCTTCCTGGTTTACAATACACGCACCCACCTACACAAAAACAGTTTAGATTAAATCATCTTTAGAAAAAGAGAAGGAGAAGAAAGTGAAAGTAACTGATACCAACCTGTCAAATTTACATAAAAAGCTCAAAATTAACAATCTCAGACCTTCCATGGAGAAAAGTAAAAATGGAAGAAACCCTGTGAAGCTGCAAAATTCAGACAGGG